AGGTCGGCCCTGGCCTCGATGAGCCGCTGCACCACCTCCCAATGGCCATTTTCAGCCGCAATGTTGAGGGGCGTCGCGCCTCGGGGTGGATCAATCCGGTCAGGACGCGGGGAGTGGAGCATTAGCCGCGGCAAGACAGAAGGGGAAATTCTGAGGGCTTTGCGCTTGTTTGTTTAATTTGGAAATTACCTTCAAGGCCTCTTGTTCAAATGTGTTGTTCTTTGTCTTGATTCAACAAAATATCCCGATCGCTCCTTGTCGCTTTCGGACAACTGCTAGAACCAGTCCATACCAGTGGCATAGAATCAATCAAAGCTGCACAAAACCCATCCAGTTGCTTCATTATATAGTGTTTCGTTCATCGACTCATCTAATCTCGCACTCTCTTCTTGGCCCTAATCCACCACCCAGATCGTATCAGAATCTTCGATCCTCCAAATCTGTTTTGATTGGGTAGGGTGTCAAGTGTCAAATCCCTTTGGCACGTTTCATCGACGTTCTCCGGTCACCCTGAGACTTGTTGGGGCCCTGGCGCCAGTCATCCCTCGCCTCGACGGCCGCGCGGGCGGCCACGAGCCGGTCCACCACGGCGAGGTGGCCCTCCCGCACGGCCAAATGCAGCGGTGTCTGCCGACCTCGGCCGTGCGGAGTCAAAGGCGTTTCTCTCGAGGAAGGTCAATGAGCAAGTCACCATATCTGTGTTTGGATGGAAGGACAAACAGAAAAAGGATGGAGCTCAGTTAAGTGGATTCTTCCTTCGATTTCCTGTGTCTTTATCTTGCTTGTTTCCTGATCTGCTCGCTTTGCAGCAATGCACGGATCAAGGCCCTGCATGAAGAAGCAACATGTGTCTGTACCCCTGTGGCGTTCATATCCGCTTAACTAGACTTAGAGGGGGCTAGCTAAGCTCAATATGTTGTCGCATTCATCTAAAACATCTCCAATCTTCCAAAAGATGTCCATACCTGTCCTGACACGCGGTCGTTCTGGCTCGCGGAGCTCCGGGACTCCGGCGGTTGTCTTCGGCCTCGATGTCAAGACCTGCTTCCAGCAGGCGCTCCACCTCATCGATTTCTCCTTTGAGGGCAGCGCGGTGCAGCGCAGACCGGCCTCAGGCGATCTGAATTTTCAACAGGATTGCCCTGCATGTCCATCTCAACTTTGGGGTGAGTCAGGATCTCTGAAGGTTATGGCCTGAAGGACCTGAAAGACTTGCGACTCTAGATCTCTCAAGACCTGATGCCCAGCCAGCCCGTTCAACACAAGTCTAAAAAGCAAGTTCTCAGTTCCCTCACCTTCTTCATCGATCTCTGCACCTTGGCAGCTGCGTCAGAAGTAAATGGACCCAACCGGTCTTGCACATGTGCTTCATGGAGAGTGGCGAGAGCTCAAACGCTTGAATCAGCCTTCCCACGCCAACATCTCAAGTTCTGTGCTTTCTGCGAAGTGGCTTGACCAAAAGAACAATCTCTTCAGCCGCCATCAGCAGCAAAAGTTGGAAGATCGAAGAAATGTACTGAAGCAGTTTATTGACAATCCAGCAAAAACATCCAAAAACAACGTTTCTCTCTGACTGACAGTCGGCCACAGGAACATCCAAGAGCTCCACCTTTCTGGGCTGCAGCTCCACAGGCCTACAAGGTTTGGGTCTGAGTGCAATCACATTTCACCCTTTTGCACCAGCGACATCCAGCAACTGCAACATTGCTGTGCTTCACACACGTCTCTCTTGGTCTTGGTTCTGACGTCATGTTGAAGCCCTTCGTAGTCAGTATAGATACATCGCTTTGGAGACGGCCTTGACCACCTTCTTCAAGACCTCACTGGGCTCGGCAGCGGTATCGCTCAGGACCTGCTCAAGAAGACTGCACTCTCAAGGGTAAAGCGTTGCATCTAGAAGTCACGGGTTATAGTGGATTGGTGGTCTGTGCACCTACTCGTTGATCTCGTTGTAAAGTGTCCACATTCAAAACCAGTCGTTGTTTATCCCAGCTTTGGGAGATTCTCAGATACTGCCTAAGATCAACCATATTGGCAGGGGATAGCAGGGGTATTTTGGCCTAAAATAATGAAGGGGTCATTTAATATCGAAATTGCAAAGACTAAGTTCTTGTTGAATCTTGGACTCAAAGAGATTAGATGAAACTAAACTCAATGCCCTTTGAGCTTGACGGTTGCAGGGCAGAAATGAAAGCAATTCTGCCTGAGACTTTGAACATCCAGGACCCCAAGTTTGGAAAACGGTTTCACTCGCCTGTGGGCAACAATCTGAGATGCCCCTGTTGAAAGTCCGCAACCAGGATAGGAAGCACGAGAGAACAGCAAAGACCACAACCCATTGAATCGTGAAGGAACAATGTCACTGATTTCAGGGCAGCTGCTTCAAGCCTTGCAATTCGTCGTGCCACAACAACGACCACTACTCTCCTCGTGGGCACTTGACCATGCCTGCATCATGGTGTCCAGGCTCCTTGGGCAGTCGACCCTTTTTTCCGAAGCAGCAACAATGCGAGCACAAGTCTCGTGTAAACATGCATATACTAGAGACAGAAACCTTAACTGTGCCGACAACCTCATGGTTGGGGCTAGTCAAGCACCCGTGCTTTTCAGTTTGCGGCATCGGTTTCTGCTTGTCTGCATCAATCATTGTAGCTTCGAGTGCTAGGAGGATTGCTTGATGTCCATCCAAGTATATAGATCCGTTGAACAGTATAGCAAACAAGACTGCATGATGAAATGATGAAGTGTCCTCCCAATCTTTCTGTATGAACCCAATGGATGCTACTTACTCATCAACACTGGCCATTGCCATTTTGGGATGTGGTATATGCGGCAACCTGAAACAATTTTTAATGTGAGTCCCGTTCCACCCTGATGCCATTCACTGCCCAGTAGCATGCCCAACCACTCCGGATCTTTCTGGATGGCATGAATCAGGAAGGCAACTGCATGCAGAACTTGGCTCTGAGGCCTGCAGAGAGGATGGTGGAACTCGCAGTTTTACTCCAGCCTGCCGCAATCATATGTTGAGGGACAGGCTGCCCAAAGTCATAAAAAGACTTGAGTGGGAGGGGGTGGACGAAAGGTAGGTCATTAAGTTCAACTTTCAAAGAGGTGAGAGAAAAGAGAGGAGAGAGAGAGAGAGAGGCAGAGATCCGTGGAATTTGAAGAGCAGCAGCAGCAGCAGCAGCAGTAGCCAAATGACGAGCCAAATGACGAGGAGGGAGGAGAAGCTCGATACGAATCCAATCACACGAAGCCACGGTGCCAGTACAATTGAAGGAAAATTCACCCGTCCCAGGGTGGAGTTGATCCACTAGCTTTAACGGCGTGTGGCAGGATCCTGCCCTGTAGCTAAAGCTAATTGAACTCAGGTAACTGAAGCTACCTTTCGTGATCAGTAGAGAACAACTGGCCTCTAAGCCTAAGCCAGAAAGGAATTCTGGAGAACGGAAGCAAGCTTGTCATATGGGCATCAACTGGTCTCACAACACACAGTGTTGGCACAGAAAAGTCCACCCACAAGAACAGTTACAGTTACAATATCACTCTCACACAACCGTGCAACCTAATTTCTGCCATAAGCCCCTCCAGTGTGTTTGCGGCAATGCGTTTGCAGACCTTGGCAACAAGTAAGCAACCTCCTTGTTTATGACTTAACATGTTCAAGGACGCCTGCGATCTGCAAAGGTCTTCAATCGCTCCAATAGCTCGGGCTTCTCCCAATACAATGTCGGCCAGTGGAGGCTCTGCACAAAGTGCAGATCAACGTTGCAGTGAGGGTTCAACCTCAGAATGGGTGGCTACGACTTCTGCAACCGAAACACATCAAACCTGTTTCACCTATGTAGAGTGATCTTCCTTTACACAATGATCTATCTGGGTCCTCCAATCGCCAAGCCCTCTTGCTATTCATGACACACACCTTTGGGCCCTGGCACCTGTTGTTTTAAGGTTTTTCTGCTTGAGTGCACGATGTATGCCGGTATGCAATTTGCTTTTCTAATCAGGGTATGCCAAGCGATTTCGGCAACTTGACATGGTTGTTGACGACTGATGCTCGCTGCAGCGGCTGCGCAGGTGGATGCGTTTGGGAGGAGCAAGACTAATGCCCTGTTCATGTGCAGATAGGTTAAATTTCTGGAAATCTCGAAAAAGCCAAACGAAACATGATAAAGCTATTTGTTGCCTGGCCCTTTACAGAATTCATGATGGCTGAGCATGTCACCTTCTCATCACGCAGGGAAATGGAAACACGAGGAGCGACTTGGGTGTTATCGGGAGACGGTCAAACTTTTGCAAAGGGTCCAACTCAAGCTGCTTACCTTGCAGGCCACTTGTACAATCACATTGCTCCTATACTCCTATATTAGGAGACACCTCCGTCCCCTTAAGGTCAAGCAAGGGGGGAAAGCAACAAGAAAACACTGAAAATGTTCGGTCGCCCATGCGAGGCACCAGTCATGGTCTTCCACATCTCTGTAGTTGTTGACTACACGCACCTGCCATTGTGCAGCCTCTTCGCCATTTCTCTGGATGAGCTGCCTTGCAAGGTCCTTGAAGAAGGAGCCTCTCAGCAGCACCAAGCTTGGAACATGGATTTCTGCACGTAGACCTTCCACCAGGTTCACCACGTTCTGAAATCCTGGTGCTACAAAATCTGGCACCTGCCATGGAGCTTCAGCGCATGCCCACCCCAAAGAGGAGGACCTCTTTTGGTCGACGAACTCTTCAAGGACCAACTTCAATCCATCCTCATTCAACTTCACCGGAGAAACCACAATCGCCCAGAAGCTGCCTTCACTCACATACAAACGCATCTGCTTGCGAATCACCTTCAATTCACTCCTGCGGAGACCTCATCCAGGTTCTGATACCAGCACAGGAATAAACACACTAAGCCACGGTCCCAAAGAGAAAGGGCAAACCATGGAGAACACTTGTATCACTTATAAGTCTCAACTTTTGAGTCTTGGTAAAACTGACGCGTCCAAGCCGACAAGGACCTGCACTGGAATCCAAGGCTCTTCTATGAAAAGATAAAACTCTGTCCAACACTGCACCAGTGGCACCCACTGAAAAATATGTTCAAAAAATGTTTTTTTGGAGCTGCGAGTCTTCCGTGCATCTATCAAGGCGATCACCCTCAAGGGGATGCACCAAGGAGCCATAGCTAAGTGCTAAGTACCTTGTATCTTCCCTCATACACCCCATCCCCTCTTGATATCATTGTATGTCTTTGCATACCGTCTGCACGTGGTCTTCAATGTTGGATCGAAGACTATGGGTATTCCACCAAGGGACACAATTCCTCACACCGATCCTTTAGCTTTTTCTGGAGATCAGCACCAGCCTCCTCAATGTCGCCCAACGCTCCTTAGTACTCACACGAGCATGCCGCGTGTCCTTGCCATAAAGTAGTCTAACCAAAGGGATTCAATTGTGGTCTCTGATCAATTTCGGCATAGGCTTAGCAACAGTGGCACAGGCTTTACGAGAAGGCATCTAGCTTATAATGAGATGCAAGCAAAGTTTCAATCTAATTTAACAACCTATTGCCAGAAAGACTCGCTCACAAACAAAATAGTAGGTGTTCAGGCCGTTCACGCAGTGTTGGGCATCTTTTTCCTTACATACCGGCACTTTGGCTTCATACTTCTTGACTGTAAAGTAGGATCCCAATTCTTGCCTTGCATTGCATGACCAAGTAAAGAAAGAAAGTATATAAGAAAAACTTCTTGCTTGGAAGGACAAAAGTAGTTTACCCAAACAAGTCAATCAAAAGCTGGGCTATGAATCAATCACGAAGGTGCAGCATCCTCAAGAAGGTGTCGGAAGGAAATGGTTCATCCTCGTCAAGGGCAGGTGCTATCAATCTCTCACGTCACGTGCCCGTGCTTTCAGTGTACGACCGAACTGGTGTCAGCCATTTGCAGCAGTGGTGTCGATAAGGACTAAGTTTTTTAAACATGCAACCCAGCTCTTGTGCTGGGCTTGCAGTGGCTGGTATTCGATTCAACCACTTGCATTGGCCACTTACTCATTCAGAAAGGGGAAAAAAACTATAAACCCTCATAGACAGAAGGGCAGCATGGTAGCCTACAAATAGCATTTCGTCTGGCACACATGTTCTGGACATTGAAAACGAGCTGGCTCAGCAACATGTGTGGGTTGGCTGGAATTGCTTCTGGTTTGCAAAAGCTATGCGTTTGTAGGTGCCTGCTCCACCCAAAAGACATGCACAAGATGTTCGAGAAACTTATGCTACTTGCAAATTCCCTCAGGTACTCTAGGAGGAGGACTTTCTCAGCAAAGACTTGATCGATCTATCTTGGAGCCGGTCATGCCGTACTCAAATAGTGAACAGGACATCAAAGATTTCCCAGTGCTCCGGCCTTTCTCTTCAGGTCACGCAACTCTTCGCGCAACTCTTCAATTGCATTATATTGGTCTGCATAGCTCTTTACAATGTTCTTGTTGAAGAGGATCGTCACACCCCTCACGTCTTTCTGCCAACATGTCCGGAGATCTTCTGCCATGTCGGTCAAAGTCATTCTTTTACTCCAGCGAAGAGGGTTCATCTTGGCTGCCTTCTGCCCGAACACCGCGCACTTGGAGTCAGTCCAGCACCATCGGCCACTCCGAAACGCGTTTGGATCCTGGTGGCAGGGGACGCTGTCGACTGACAGTGATAGCCAGGCGCCCTAAAGAATAGCGCAAGTTGATGCAAGTTGGAGGTTGTTGCCGGTTGCTTCCAAGGGAATGGGTCAAGTCTCAAAACCTCGGTAATTAGGGCTTATGGGGACGAACATCTGTAAACTGTAAACAGAGGAGATTGGCTCACAACCACAAAGAGATCGCAAAGAGATAATTGAGATAATGATAGATAATGTAATAGTCATGACCAATTCAGTGTGGTCAAGCCTAAACTTCAGTGCCCACCAGGGTCACAAAACCCTTCAAAGGGCAACTACCTCTGAGATGCCTGACCGTCTCCCCCCACGTTCGAAAACCATTCTGATCGGTCAACAAAAAAGAGCCTCCTCGCACGCTTCTCGAACATTAGTCTCTTAGGGTTCGGCCATCAGTAGATTTCAAGGCTTCCTGCCGAGTCCGTCTCCCTTCCAAAAGCATCCTCAGTGACTCGGCTTTGCTTTTTCCAGGACCGCCTACCGCCAGCACGGGCAAAACCCTATGTTGACAATTCACTGACCCCTTTCCAGTCGACGCACTGACCAGTTTCCTGTCAATGCTTACAAGGGGATGGGTGGGCTGGCCAAAGCCCTCCTTTTTTGGTAGCAGGCCCTCATGTGGTCTTATTGAGTAGAAGTAAAAGTAGATACAAAGGATAAAGTTTCCACAATCCCATCCTTCAACCTCCTGACCGCATTGCCAACGATGCGGATCACCTCTTCTGGCAGATTCAGCTTACACCGCGGGTCATCAATGAGATGTTGAGCGTCGCAACCTTCGGGCTTCCAGTTGGTTGGGTGAACATAGCCTCGAGCACTTGAGGATGGAGCTTGATGGTCTGCCAAGACTTCGATGACTTCACACAGTGTGCGACAGCTGAGAAGAGGAATTTGATGTTCCAGTGGTTTAAAGTGAGAATCACAGTTGTTGAAGCTCTTGATGATCTTTACAGACTTGTCTAGGGCAGATTCATATTCATTGTAATTATGCTGCATAGAGTCTTCGTGGAGACCTTCAGACTCCTTTTCCTCCTCTTCTTCCTCATCTTCTTCCTCATCGTCTTCCTCATCTTCTTCCTCATCTTTTTCCTCATCTTCTTCCTCATCTGACTCGTTCATGAAGATCTCGTCATCAGCAAGAAAATGCAGGTAATCCGCTAGTGGCTGGGCCTGTCCTATCGCCTCCAGCCATTCACTGTCATAGAGGACCTCCTTTCTAGTCTGCTTCTGTGCTAGTTTGGTGTTCTGAAGTGGGTTCATGAGATTTCCAAGAACCTTCGGGGAGCGCAAATGACCGAAGGACAACAACCCAATGTCAGTTGTTAAGTTCCTCGTCAATTCATCTGAAGATCGTGGCTGGCATTCCATGTTGTAGCAAAAGGACAGGGCAAAAATGGAGGCATCGTACATGGATTGCCCAAGGTCGCAGGCATACATAAATTGATACCGCTGCTTCTTTAGCAACTGAACATTGTGGACATACTCGAACGGCTCCATCTTGAACGTGTACCTGTGCTCGTTGCTCGTCCTTCGGCTTGTAAAAGCATCATCTTGTGGCCGGCAGGTTGCCAGAACACACCAAAGCCTCAGGTGCTCCTTTTCCTCACTTGCCATGATACCAAACAAGGTATCTTCCAGCCAAAGGCCACGGATCGTTTCAACAATTCCTTCTTCTTGGTACTCGATTTCTCTTTTTGGCAAGAGAAAGGTCCCCTGGAACTTAGCTCTGGAGTCTCGCGTGTTCTCTGGAGTGCGTTTGGAGGCGAAGCACATTTGAAGCCCGGCATAACACATCGAACAAACGTAATCGTAATCCTTTGAAGCAGGTTCTTGTGAACGCCTGTTCATGATGCCCCGAAGACTCTCAGGGAGCGAGCCACCTGTCAGCCTGCCATAGCCATGACCAGAGTACCAAACGAAGAGCTGAGCATCTGCCGCCAAGTTGTGAATCACCTCCTTTAAAACCCTCTTGATTTCATCACCTGGGCCATGTGCAACTCCGGTAGTCCAACCCTGAAGTCAAAAAGGTTCATAGGTTTACTACACTCTGTAGCCGGGAGGTGTTGGGTATGCCGTCATCTAAGAGCCTATCCTAAAGTTCTATCAGTCATGCACCAGTCCCAAGTCGTGGAGCAGTCCGACGACCTGACCCGTAGGAATGGACCAAAAGTGGAATGGGCCAACCAAAACCCATCCCTCACATGGGTAGGAGAAGCAACTCACCATTCCCAAAAACAAACAGAGTCCTACGTGGTTTGCAGTTGCACAAAAATAGAAAGAAGTCTAGAGGACCATCCACGACTAGCAGGCACCTTTGACCCCCATGAACCCACGTCATCGAAACGATCTTTGCAACAGCAGCCACCCGTTTGATCAAGGACCATGCGCAAATCCTCCCTCCTGCAAAAGTTGCAGCGCAACAGCGCTTGGCCGACCAGCTGGGCATCGCGAACCGCATGCGCCAGGTCATCACCGTTGTTGGCGATCAACACTGCATGCCTCGAACGGAGTCGAGTCATTCACGGTTTCAGTAGACAACTGTGATACTGATGTGTGAGTCATGGGGGGGTTGAAAGGAGCATCTCCCGTCACCACGGCAATGATTGGTTGATTGGTGATGTTTGGCCAGGATTTTTGTAGAATGGGAAACCAGGTCTTGGCTCAAGCCGTTCAGTATCAACGCTTAGGTCAAGTGCGTGTGGATCATCCGCGACCAGAAAACCTGGTCGCATTTCGTCTATAGGCCCTAGGCCATATACATGGGATGGTCAAAGTTATTTGTTCGGCCCGAGAGGCTTTTACTATAGTTCATGCATAGCTTTAGGGAGTTCTCTCAAGTCCCCCCAATTGACTGCAAACTGCGATCTTATGGCTCTCCCATACAGCTATCTTCTTTTACCAAGCCTTACCTTCTGTTCGGGAGAAACCATGGTGAAAGATACGTATGCGCATGAGAAGAGTTGGTTTTGTTGACTCCTTTGATCCGAGCAAATCTGTTCAGGCAATACATATATATATATATATATGCACAGCCCAATCGACTTGTGGGTTGGGCTGTGCGGCTACATGTGGGCACAGGTAGTCACTGGTGATAGGAAGGAGTGATATTGAGAGAGGAGAGGCAAAGTGAGGAAAACCTGGTGCAAACTCTGCGCATCGAAGGCCCCCAAAAACTGGAGAGCGCACTGGGCCAGCGTTGCATGGTTGTAGTCCCCCATGAAAGCCACAGCTTTTCAAAGGGCCAAAGGGCGTTGTTTGGCTGAAACACCTTTAATGTTTAAAACATATTCAAACACGGAGTTCCATGCCTCGACGACCAATGAGAGGCACTTCTGCTCAACAAAAAACGCACTTCTGCTTTGTTCTTCCTTGTCCTGGGATGTTTTACTAGTTTTACTTGCGGAAGGCCCAAAGTGAATGGTTCGGCGCCAACCAGCCTGACATCACTCGAGCAAGAGTTGTTCTTCGTGAAGGTTCCAATTTCACAACCCATTTCCTGGTAGAATCCTGCAAAAAACACAGATGGTGTCACCTCACACAGTCGAATTTCCGAAGTTGTTTAGTTGTTGTACACCTGGGAAGATGGTCCACATGGAACCTGAAGTTGTACACCTTTGAAAGACTACTTTCCTCTACAACCCAGTGGTTTTCAGGTTCTATGTTAATCCTCCCGGGTGTAAAGTTCGTCGCATGATGATTGACCGTCTCACACTGGCCACGCGAGGCTTGGACTTCTTACTTCGACCGCGGCTGACCCACATGTCATATAGACGTTATAAGACCCAGTAAGAAGAAAAAACGGTATTCCTCCTGAAGTAGTGCTGGCAAACTGACAAGAAGTTCGTTGATTGCTTATAAAGAATTAACACTATCCGAGAACATCATGGAACATCTCAGCTGCATTTGTTGCTGAAATGACCCTAGTGTACTGGTGAACAAACATTCAGAACTGGGGGGGGCACCACATTGTGAGCGCGGTGGAGAATTATCCTCCATCAATGTAAACATAGAATCTTTGAGTGTGAGAGAGAGAGAGAGGCAGATTGGAAGGGACTCAATTCTCCACCAAGGCAATCCTTCTCTTGGCGTTTCACTCAGATTCGCTCAGCCGCCCTCAACTCTTTACACATCAACAGCATGCTGGAAGCCATGCGGCAGGCAGGGCAGCCTAACCAAGCCTTCCCATCATCAACCGAGATGCCAAGTTGGCATGATGCTGAGGATGGGTTCGCTGGCAAGCAGTCCAAGGCCACTTCCATGGGCAACCTCTGAAAACGGGTTGTCTCTTGAACAGACTTGGTACACAGTAGGTCAGTAGGCTGTCACTATATATACTGAGCCTTCATGTACTTGGGTTCTATGAGTCGAGTGAAAAGGATCGAAGACGTCTTGCCAGGGAAAGCTGTTCTCCTGGCGACCGGACTTCTTCTTTACATGGTTTTGACTCTGAGCCGAGCATCCGGTCCACTTGTTTCACAAAAGCTTCCATGCAAGCTGAACAAGTTTGAACTGAGATAGATCTAACAAGAGGCTCTTACACAAAACCCTTTCTTGAATATCGACCTCCGGATTCTCCACTAGGAATGGATTGAAGAATTCGGTCTCCTCCAATACCATGTTCCTCTACCCTCGATACACTCAAACTGCGGAGTTTCTCCCGTCATTGGAAACACCAGCAGCATCCATTTTGGCTCAAAGCAAAAACAATCTGTGGGCATTGGGCCAAAGGCGGCTCCACACGATAGACACATTAGCGCTTCTCTAAGCAGCTGCCGATGTTACCCAAAGCCTGTGCTGCCGTCGCTCGTAAGATACCGGCTTCATCTGCCAGCGACTTGATCAGTTGAGGCACAGCTTGGGCAGCCGCAGGGCCCATCTGGCCCAAGGCCTCTGCAGCACTGCTGCGAAGTCTGCAAAGTTCAATGTCTGCGTCTGAGCCTTCTAATGCCTTCAGAAGCTGTGGTACAGCTTCAGCAGCCGCAGGGCCTATCTGTCCTAAGGCTCGTGCAACGTTGCACCGTACAACAAGATCTGGATCTTCAGGCAATGTTCTCAGCAGCGCTGGCACAGCCTCTGCGGCTGCCGGTCCAATCTGGCCCAAGGCCCATGCAGCATGGCTCCTCACGAGCCTGTCAGTGTCTCTCAGTACCTCCAGGAGGTGTGGCACCGCTTCAGCTGCAGCAGGGCCAATCTGCCCCAAGGCCGTTGCAGCCCTACTCCGTACACCGACGTCTGGGTCTTCCAGCGCCTTCAGAAGTTTTGGCACTACTTCAGCTGCTGCGGCACCCATTTTGCCCAGCAACTCTGCAGCCGCTCCGCGGCGAACAGCATTCTGTTCATCCTCCAGCGCTTTGAGCAGGTGCGAAACCACTGGGCCTCCCAGACCAGCTAGCTCATCGGCAGCCCGCCTCTGCACGAAGGTCTCTGGCTTCTGCAGTGCCTCCTGCAGCTGCGTCGAGGAGCTCATCTGACTCAAGGCCTCTGCAGCGGCCTGTCGGACGTTGAAATCCTCATCATCCAGTGCCTGGAGCAGCTGTGGGATTCCTTCAGCTGGACCCATCTGAACCAACGCTTGCACGGCACCAGAGCGCACTGCAGGGTGTCGGGCATCAAGAGCCTCCAAAAGCATGGGCACAGCGCGAGACGGCAAGGACCCGATTTGGCGCAAGGCCCCTAGCGCAGCGGAAAAGACATCCACACGGTAGTCATGCAAGGCCTCGAGCAACTTCGGTGCAGCTTCAGCGGCCACGGGGCCCATTTCCCCCAACGATTTGGCGGCACTGCAACGTACATCACCTTCGGGGTCACCAAGTGCTTTGCACAGGTGGGGAACAGCTTTGCTAGTTGCAGGTTTTATGCTTCCAAAGGCCTCAGCAGCATCCTTGCGCAAGGTGGTGCCTCGGTGTTCAAGAGCCTTGACCAGCCATGGCACATCTTCTGATCTGAACCCCCTAAAGGAAGTTTTGGTGGCAAGCAACTTGGCTAGAGGTTGAGATGGCAAGGCCGGCAAGGCATTCAAGCGGTCCAAGGCATATATAGTGCTCCGCTGCATTGAAGTAGATTCACTTGTAATGGCCTCTTCAAGCACTTTCAGCAGCTCTGGAACTGCTTCCGCAGAGCACATATTGCCCAAGGCCTCTGCTGCAGCGCAGCGCACAGGACAAGCCTCATCTCTGAGGGTCTTAACCACATGTGGCACAGCTTCTGCCGCTGCCGAGCGCATGTTGCCCAGGGCCCGTGCCACGGATGAACGGACTTCGTCTTCCTCGTTCTCAAGTGCCTTCAGCAACTGGGGCAGCGCTTCCACTGCCAAGTCCATCTTGCCCAAAGACTCCGCAGCACTGCGCCGGACTTCCCTGTCGCCATCTTCAAGTGCCTGAAGTAGATCCGGCACAGCTTCAGAAGCTACATCATTCATGTTGGCCAAAGCCTTCGCGGCACTACAACGAACAGCACTGTCATTGTCATGTAGTGCTTGGAGAAGCTTCGGCACAGCTTCAGCTGCTGCAGGGCCCATCTTGCCTAAGGTCTTCACGGCATTGCTACGAACACCAGTGTTTCCATCTTCAAGTGCCTTGAGCAGTGCTTGCACAATCTCATCTGTCGGCTCTGTCGCCTCCAAAGCTATTGCCGCGTTTCTACGGACCTCGCTGTCCGTCTCCTTTAGCGACTGGAGTAGCCTTGGGACAACCTGAGCTGGCAAAGGACCCAACTTGCTCAAAACAGCAGCAGTATTCACGAAGACATCAAGTTCATGGTGTTCAAACACCTTCAGAATCTTTGCTGCTCGATCAGGTTGATGCAAGCCCAAGATGCGTTGCAAATAACTTCTCATAGGACCAAAAAAAGACCCTGTCGGATGCAGTAAGAAGCTGCAGTAAAGCTTCAGCTCCTGAATTGCTCATGTGACTGAGGACCTTTGCAACACTATGCCCAAAGACCTCAGGCTTGCTCAATGCACTTTGCACCTGTAGCACAACTTGAATTGCTGAAGAAGCTATTTCTCTCAAGCACACCTCAGCAGCAAGTTGGTCATGTGGGTTATTGTTGTGCATTTTCTCCAGCAGCCTTGGTACAGCTTCAAAGGCTGCAGGGCCCATCGCACTCAAGGCATCCCTGGCACTTTCGTACACATGAAATTTGGCGTCATCCAGTAGATTCAGCAACTTCGGTACGATCTCATGTTCGAAAAACTCGATCTTGCGCACCACCTCCACAAGGCGGGAGAAGGCTAAGTCATCGTATTCCGTTTCTTGAAGCGCCTCCAACAGCGGTGGCAACAATTCAACCTGCGCACGGCCCATGTGACCTAAAGCGTCTGCAACACGAACTCGGACAGGCCAGTCTCCGCCAAATACTACTCGCGTAAAGCCATCATCGCCCTTTCGTTTACGTGATTCACGTTCAGATTCGTCAACCTTCAGAAGCTTTAGGACTGGTTCAGCTGCTGCAAAGCCCATCTTCCCCAAAGCCTCAGAGGCATAGGACCGGCCATCACCACCGTGGTAGGCTTGTTCTTTAACTAATGCGTTCAGAAGCTCTGGCAGAGCTTCAAGAGCTGCAGAGCCCATCTGGCCTAAAGCCTTTCCAGCACAAGAGCGCACATCATGATCTCCATCCTGAAGCGCCTTCATCAGGTGTGGTACAGCTCCTTTGCAAAGGAGGCTTTCCAACGCTTGCAGGGTAGGAAGAGAAGCGGCTGATAGAGCAGAGTTCGATTCCTGGGAGAAGTCAACGAAAAGCAAAAAGAACAGTATTGATTGCGGCGAATGTAACACACGTTGGTTGGTAAGAGTCATCAGTCCCTTTAGTGACATGCATGCACTATCACCTGCATGGCTTAGGAATCGCAAGGGTAGATGTTTGTCATTAATTGTCAAGTCATTGTGTTTCGAAGATTCCAAGTCTGTCAGTCCCTGCTCAATTATCGTCAAAAAGATCCAGCGCACAAACGTGAACACAGAATCAAAGACGTATCCTTGTCCCCGGCCTTTCTGATCAAGTCCTGCAACTTGCCGACTGCTTCAAGTTGATCCCTATAGCTCTCTTCCGTCTCTTCAAAGAGAATCGTCACACCCCTCGGCTCCATAAGCAAATAGTTCCCCAGATCCTCTGCCAGCTCCTTCACGGTCATCCTGACGCTCCAGCGCAACGGGTTCATCCCCACCCGTTGCCCCAGCACTGCAAAGCTCGAGTGGCTCCAGCACCAGCGACCCGTCCCTCGTGCGGGCGCGGGCGCAGGCACTGGCGGCGTGGAGTCTGGAGAACGCGACCGGCCGAGCCTGTAGACCTCACGGCACGCGGACGAGGTCGTTGTTCTTGCGTGGCGGAGGGTGACTGCATGTAATGACTGTAAAGACCTGATCTAGCTCCGGAGGCCTAGCAAGAACATGTGAGAAATATATCGAACAGTGCATCGGTCGCAATATCTTGGAGAGGGCGTGCCTTGAGCAGGCATGTGATCGTATATCACCCTCTAGGTCCGTGCCGAAAACCACCTTCAAACATCGTTCTGTTCGGCACCTTACACAGTGGCTAAACTTCAACTATCAATGTCACAGTTGAAAGCCATAATGCCAACGATGCAAACACTACAAAACAAGAGGACAACTGAAATGAGGCATTTCTTCTGGTCATACGACGAGAAGATTGCCACACCTTCCATGTCCTTCCTACAAAGTTGCCTCCTTCTTGAACCTGTTGCATGGAGCCTTTTGGAACCTCAAGTATACGCTCTGCCCACTGCAACCAGGGTGAATCAAATCATGACCACTTCCTCCAAACAGCCTCCAGCACCAACTTCTTCAAGACGTCTTCAGGCTCCGCAGTGCTGCACAAAACCTACAAAGCAGGGAGCCCAACCCGGCACCACCCACCCGGTACCGGGGTGATCCGAAACGACCTCCATCCGCCGCAGAAAGCGGGTGGAGGTTTGGTGGAAACCACGTCTTCGTTTCGTTCGGAAACCACGACTCCAAGTGACGTGACTTATGAATGGGCGTCTAACAACACTTGAAGTCTGAGCCTCCTTAGCTGGATATTTGGCAAGATATTTGGCAACAGTAGAACAGCACACACCAGCAAGGTTCTAGAGTTTCTCGGCAACTTCTTGGAAGGCAGGAGTGATTGGTTTGACCAAAGCTTGGCTCCACCCGCCTGTATGATGGTGTCGATGCTCCTTGGCCAATAGATTGTCTTGCGGTGAACAGCACAGGATATTACAGGTTTGGCCACAAGAAATGCTCACACTGTTCTCACCCAACAAATCAAATTGCTAGGAAAACATGCATGCAGTTCACTCAGGAAACTCACAGCAAAAAGATCTTGGCTGAAAGCATCTAAAGGGGTTAAAGCAAACAAAGTATCCTTGTTGCAACAGCCGAGCCACAGTGCTAGCCGTGTTGGGTCATCTTGGATCGCGTGAAGCAGGCAGCCAAGTGTGCATAGCACTTGGCTCCGAGGCCTGTGCAACGGGGAGGTCTCAGTTGATTTTCAGGGTCAGCCTGGACCAAAAGAAGACGTCAGTCTGTCATTCCTAGCGGATTTAGTGCCCAGAAGTTGGGAATAGTTCTCAGGTCTTTCAGGTGACCTTTGTGTGAACACCCCACGACCTAAAAGAAAGGATGAAACTCACAGCCTGCTCGCTCTGTTCCGTAGAAGAAACAATATAGGTCTTCAAACAACAGCCCTGCTCCCAAAGTGGAGAAAATCTGCGATGTCCCTGCGATGCCCACATCTGGATGCTCTATATAGAGAATGATCGTGGGACATCAAAAAAAAACACAGGGATGTCTCAGAAGTAAGTCGTATGAAATGCTTAAACCCATTAGCCTATCATCAGGACAGGTCATCACTGTCCTGGAACCCTTTGGATAAACTACCTCCACTCATGAAGAGCAACAACCCTTTATCCAGACTGGGCCATACAGTAAGAAGCTTAAAGTAAACACTTCTGATTTAGTGGGGACTGACCACGGAAGCTGTCTGATTTGGCTCCTCAACACCTCTAATCTTACTGTTTTGGAGTAACTCTTGCGGCCTCAACCAGCTTGTCGACTCAAACAGCCAAGTCACCGAACCAACTCCTCGACCGACTCGGTCGCGCGCAGCCCTTCGGGCCCGGTCGACTCTGCAGCAGCGAAGCGAAGAAGATGCTCCAGTAGCTCTGGTTTCTTCCAGTGCGCCGTCACCCAGTTAAAGCATCTCACGACGTGGAAGTCCACGTTCTGCTGTGAGTTCAACCTGATTACAAGATACAAAGGAGGTCCATGAATCCAACAACTCGTGGGCTAGTGGCTAGCAGCTAGCTCATCGACAACAAAACAATCCCTTCACCACCCATAGGTGGAATTTGAAGATGCACAGAGGTTCCAGCATGCTCCAACTGTCAATAGAAAATAGACAAAAGCACAAGGACTTGAGCAGTGTGAGGCACCACTGGTCTTCGCCCACGTCTCTATAGTTGCTCACCACTCGCAGCTGCCAACCTTCTGTCGCCTCGCCCTGCTTCTTCATCAGCTGCATGGCCAAATCCTTGAAGAAGGACCCTTTCAAGGGCACCAAGCTGGGCACCTCCACCGCTCCTCCTAAACCTTCCACCAGGTCAATCAACTTCTCGAAGCCCGGCGCCGCAAAGTGCGGCACTTCGCGCGGCGCGTCGGCCGAAAGCCACCCGAAGCAGGAGCCCTTCCGTCGCCTCACGAAGTCCTCGAGGATCTGCAAGAGGCTTTGTGCCTTCAGCGGCTTGGGTGACACCACGATGACCCAAAAGCTGCTCTTTCCCACGTAGGTCCGGATCTGTTCCCGGATCACATCCAGGTCTTCGGGTACCATGCCTTCGGGGCGGCGAGCGATGACCACCCCAGTCTATGCGTGATCGTGGGCCGCATCGATCGAGCAAGGTAGAAGAACCGGTCTCGTCGATGCAAAAATAGGTCTCCCACAAAGAAGTAAAAGGGATGGAACTAGCATGACTAATTGAAGCAGGACAGGCCAAGAAACATATCTTCTCACACTGCTCCCTCAGCATCTCGTCCATTTCTTCAGCATCTTCTAAAGTCGGTGCTATTGCTCCTTGGCGTCGCACAAAGAAAATGGCTCACATGGGGCCGGTAGCCTTTCTTTGGAGGGAAACGTGGGGCACCGTGCCTCCCAAGTCTTCCAGTCTGAGACGCGCAAGAGTTCACTAGAAAAAGTGGTTGTCTTCATTTTCTAGGCAAAGCACCTGAGCTTTTGAAGAAGTATTTCTGCTGTGTTTGCTCAGAAATGTCCTCCAACTTATCCTGCTTAAGCTTCTTGATGGTGAAGTAGCCGCCCAGCATCTGCCTTGGCTTTTGAAACACTGCTAGATACAGCTTGGGGATCACGTTGGAAGGCCAAACGACCTTTGAGTAGAAGGAAAGTATGGGAGCATGGGAGATTCACAAATTCAAAAGGTCGTCTCTTGAACAAGGAAGGCTGCAACATGTCCAGGACTGTGTCAAACGGAAAATGATCGCGCTCCTGACAAGAGAGCTCCATGAGCGCAGAGAGCATGACCGCACAAGTCGAACAACTTGTAGTGCTAGTGCAGGCTTCAGTGAAGGGACACCCATGAAACCCAGAACCGCCCTTGAAAGCTTTGGATTTGACGAACCCAGATTTACATGCTCGTGCGGCATACTAGGAATGATGGATGAAGCAACTATAACTAAAATGATTGGCTGAACAAATCAGAACAACCCTCAAATACTCTGCCATGAACTTGACATCACGCCCCTCCCAGCAACTTGCATTTGAAGATTAAGCGGCAGAGCTTGCCTTGGTGCACGGATACATTGATACATATTCTACGGTGGTCTGCACCGGTGGGCAGACCCACCACATTGGGTCTGAAGCTCCATGCCAGGGCTGATGCTCCATGCCAGGAAAGAAGAGTCGTGTCTGGAAAATGGGAGTCTGTGAGGCCAATTTAATATGTACATCATCCGCTTTCAACCAAGATACTACCACTGCCTCTACCCCGTGGTCACCCCAAAAAAATCCCAAACCGTCCTCTTTGCTCTGCGCCATTGACAAAGCGTTGCTGATGGCGGCGACGACATCGTCTGGCAGATTCAGCACCACCCCAGGGTCTTGATTCAGCTCATACTCCTCGTCGCTCCTGTCCTCGTCGTTGGGCTTCCAGTCTGATGGGCGACTGGGATATCCCCCTGTGCTTGGGGACGCAGCTTGATGGTTTACCAAGACGTCCTTGACTTCTTCCAGGCTACGACAGCTGAGCAGCCAAATTTGATCTTTCAACCGTCCAAAGTCAGGAGCACACTCATTCAAGCTCTGAATGATGTCCCAAGCCAACAATCTGACATCTTCGTAAGACGCATCGTCATATATCTCACCATCAGCCAGCTGGTGCAAATAAATTGCCACCAGCTTTAAGGCGCTCACAGCACCAAGCATGTCTGGCGTATAATCAAGCATCTGTGCTTGAGTCTGCTCTTGCTCGATCTTGATACGGATGCTCCGAGGTTCGCCCACAATCTCCGGGGGGCTGACTTCTCCGAAGGACAACAACTCCGAATCATCTTTCACGAGCTTCTGGAGCGCTTCCAAGTCCTGCGGCCGTCCAAGGCGCTCCAAGTTGTAGCAAAAGCACTTGGCAAAGATAGAATTGTCCCACATGTTTTGCCCGAAGGGCATGGAGTACAAGAAAGCAAATCTTGTGCGTTTCTGATCAGACACCAATTGCAAGTTGTTGGCATACTCGGGCTCCTCAAGCACGATCTTGCCGTGGTGACCGTCTTTCTTCCGCCCTCTTTCAAACTCTGCTTTGCTCCCACGGCAGGCTGCAACGACAGCCCACAGTCGAAGCTCGTGTCTGGCGAAAATGCCAAATAAGGTGTCTTCTAGCCACACGCAGCTGGCCTTGTCAACCACCTCGTTGTTTTCATCCAGGCTGTCTGCCTCCTCCACTTTCCTTGGCTCCCCAGATCTCCCAGGGTGCAAGAACGACCAAAAAGTAACTACTAGACACATGCTACTGGAGGCTGGAACGCTTCGCTTGATTTGCTAAGACTGCTAAGACAGATTGGCCAACTGCAGAAAGGATTCGGAACAATCAACGTCCCTTTGAAGCCTCCCGCGCCTTCCACGTCATGACCCAAGGCATGGCCCGAGTACCAAACGAAGAGATATCCACCTTTGGGCACCTGAACAAGTCGCTCCAAATCTGGGGTCAAGGGCCATGATACCATGATGAAGTTGTCATATAGTACTTGGATACTATAGGTACGTACCATACTTAACATGTTTTTGTTCATTAGCATGATATGAGGATGGGTCGTTCCACCTGGAGCCGACCGGTTTACCATGCAGCGAATCATTGACCATGCAATCAAAATACGTGCACGAAGAGCGAGCTTTGGTTGCCAAACCGTTTGGAGCAAAGAGCGAGTGTATAGACTCTTGGAACGTACGGGTGCAAACAGCTACCTTAAATACGCAACGTTGAACACCATGTCATCCATGTTTGGGTCGTTGTCCTTTTACATCTTCATTTGCACCTTCTTCACCTCCTTGCTTCTTTCTTTGCCGTCTTCTTCCGCTCTCTTGTTTCTTTGTACCTGTTTGATTTGGTGTGTGTTTTCCATTGTTTCCATTGCTTTTCATGTTCCGTCGCAGTTTGCGTTGGGTCTCTCGTCGCTGTGCTATTTGGAGGAGATTCTTACACTGACCAGCTTTCGCAGCAGCTTGGGAATTCCAAGCTGCCCTTCAACACCACCGGCAAGTCCAGAAAAATCCATGTTATGGTCAGTCCTTAGACTGCTGTCCATGTCAAGAAACTGTTTTAGACTTGGCCGTCCCGGTCTACTCAACAACACCATGTTCGACTGGCCTGATTTCCCACATGTTCCAGAGTCTCCTTGATGACATCACCTGGCTCAGGCGGTGCGAGTCACTCGCTCCCAAGAATTTCTATTGGGGTCATACAAGATTCTGTGATCTCATTCAACCTAGTAGTTCCTAGGTTGAAGGAGAAATTCGAGGGGTCCTTGCTGTTGAGGATCAGTTTAGCTCCAAAGACCTGCAAACATGTGCAGAGGTCTCCAGAGCTGTCTCCGCTGAGTATCCAAGGTTACTGACGACCCGCTGGCACTAGTTGCGCTGTGTCAATGTGAGGGAAAAATCGAGGTGACTGACCAGACTTTTGTGACATGATCCCACCAGCACATTGGGTGAGTCATCGTTCGCTTCCCAGCTGGATAAGATCAGCTTCGCGCCCCCCCTGAATACATTGCGAGGAGAAGCTCTGCACGGAAATTTTAAGGCTTACCAGGCTTACCATGTCTCTTACCCAGCATGAATGTGTCCAAGCTTACAAGTCAGTAAATAGGACATGTTCAGAATCTTTATATATAGAAGCATGTTTGCTGACAATTTGATGTGCCAGACGTGTCTTCCATCATTGCAGTCAGCCACCTTCAACTCACAATGACTGCAGACAGCCCCCGTCCTGGTTGGTCATAGATCGGCCACAGCTGCTCTTTCTTGCAAAGGCCGCAGTTCAGGAGCGCCTTCTCCACCAGCTTAGCGTCCCCCACGGCATTCTTCAGGTCTCCGTCGTTGGCGATGAGCACTACATACCTCGCTGGTGCATGGGATTTGGGATGTTCACCCATCAGTGGTGGGTGGAGTAAAATCCTGGCTCTTGGACATCTACGCCCAGCATCATTGCTATACATTCCGGTAAGCGAACAAGGATGGCTCATCCAAAGTGAGTGATTGAAAGCAAGGATGTCAGGTCTAAAGTGTTTGAAAGATTCAAAAGTATCCCGGCAAGAGACCCCAAACAGTGTGTCCAACTACCTTAAGAACCTCGAATGTGTGTCACCACACTGTGGGGGGGGGCAAGAAGATTCGCCTGGCGAAGCGCTTTTATGTTCACCCACTTCGGTCGCACGGACGCCAAAGCTTCGAACGGTTTGGTTCCGCCCCGTCCACACCGAGATGCCAAGAGGACATGGTCAAACGAAGACGACCGTGGCCACATCAATGTGTCTAAACCAGCTGAAAGTGTAACGAGTTAGGGGAAGTGTGATGTTTCTTTTTAGACCTTCGCATGTGCCAAGCTGAAACTTGGCGTCGGCTGTCATCATTGCAGAAGACTTCAGAAGACTTCTAACTCACAAACTTAAGACTGACTGGGACATGTTCCTATCACTTTCGGGATCAATGGGGGAACAACTGATCGGGATCAATGGGGGAACAACTGAGAGCCGGAAAAATCTGAAAAATACAACCTGAAATACCCAATACATGGAAGGCGTCGGAACGAGCAGCTCGTTCAAGCAGCTCTTCTCTCTGGGCCTACAACCCTCCAAAAACGGTTGATACTGACTGCATCATGTAGAATAGGGAGACCCCTGAAGAACCCCCTAAACGGTTCAGAAAATAGACCACCATCCATTGGTTGGGATCCTCCCCACTAAAATACACATCAATATCATATAAGAACATGTAAGAAGAATAGACAACATGAAACTTTAATACTTTGGCAAACGGTCCTTTGTATCATGATATGCCCGAACCTACACAGACACCGCACCAATTCAGGGACATCACGTCCTTAGCCCTTCTTCCAAGTGGGGACCTAAAGGAACGAGTTCGTTCGTCGCGGCTCCAAACAGCCCTAAAACAGATTCTCAAAGCCTCCGCTACTTCATTCAGCCTCCTCTCAACTTGCATCTTCTCCACCTTTCACTCCACCTCTACTCCATCAGGCCCCCCCAACACCCCTCTCCCAGCAGCTGCTTACTTTTTGGTCCAACGACGTAGCTTCAAGGCCTCTGATCTTTCAAGGCCCGACACCCGCAGCAGCGAGATCGTCCGTTTGATCATCGAACCCATTTCGGTTTGTTCGACGTCTCTGCAGGTGCTCAACACCTGAAAACCCCTAACGTCCGCAGACCACACTTGAGACTCGACCGATTTCCGCTTGCACGCATCATGGCGTTCGTCACCAAAAGATCTAATAGATTGAATATGATTGAATGAATTACTTGATATTTGTTTACTCGAAGATCTATATTATGATACTATAATACGTTAAATTCTACTTCTGAACAGTGAGGAAATCGAGAGTCAACCCCAAAGCCGCCTGTTTTTCCAGACGTATGCCCCATGTTCTTCGCCCATGATTCCTGAGGCTATGAATGGCCCGCTCTCTTCTCTGTCCGCATCTTGAGTCGCAATCAAACTCCAGGGCTTCTCACTACCTCCATCCTCATGGCATCACTCATGAAACATCCCCATCTTAAACGATTGGAAGGGCGACATCTCAGGAGTTCCTTAGTCTGGAAGCTCACGAGCTCAGACTCAGCAACCTCAGCTTCGGATCCAGCACTAGAATTACCCAAGTCCAGCTAAATGTCCAAAATGAAGACCAAACCCGCAGAAACCTTGAAGGTCGTACATGAACGGCCTCAAACGCAACGGAACATCTGAACGACACCAAGCAAAGAAGAAAACACCTGAAAACAGCCGCACACACACACACACATTCAATACCATACATCATTAAATACATCCTACATACATCACAAGAACCATCAAATCGACCCTTTGAGTGCCAAAAGAACTCTTTGAGTTGCTCGTCATCCAAGTCGGCGATCCATCCCTCACCTCAGCCGGACGCCGCAGCCGTCGTTCGCTCGGCCGTCGCTCGGCGGGAGATCCACGCGGGTGATTCGGAATCTTTGGAAGAGAAGACTTGAAAAGACATGGAGATTGAGAGAACCAAGACGGTCAGAAAAATGGAAAACATCACGAAACGTCTATAAAATGTCGGATTCTCGACATGATTGAACAGCCACTGGAAAGTGTCTTAAAAGGTCTGGGAAGAAAAAAACCTTCGAAAACAAGTTTCCTGAGAACCCCAGATAACAAGAAATTCAAGGCGCATCATATGGCTTTGCAATCCGAAAGGTCTCAACAGGTGCCAGGACACACCCTCGAAAGTGTCCAAGCACCTCCACTTGGTTCCCCCTCTCCTCCAAACTCTGTTTGCAAAGGAAACAACTCTTTCAACCATCCATCCCATCCCATTGGTATTGAAATCAAATAGGATAGAGGGTGTACAAATCCCACCCTGAAACAGCGCGTTGTGTTTACCACCAAAACCAAATGGAATCCTCTGAGAATCGGACCTCCTTCCACGGTCAAGTTGGACAGGTTCTGCTTTTGCTTCATGATTTCGCCCAACTTCTCCTCGAAGGTGCCCTGGCCAAATGATCCACCTTCAAAGCCTTTCGTTTAGTCGATGTATTGGTGAGTTTCCTCAGCTTTTGAGTGGTTGGCTTCAGAACGCAGGGACTGGGCGGTTTCATGCCCGGAAGGCGTGCTTGACCACATGCCGCAGATCATCACGAAGACACTGCTGCATGAACCCCCTTGCCAAGCACGCAAAGCATGCAAAGCCACTCTAATTAGGCCTTAAATGTGCATGTGGACCCTCACTTCTTCGCCCTCACTCCACATCCCTATACACCGATGTGTTCCCACTTGGGACCTCCGATCCAACGCTTTTAAAAACAAAACGAAAGGCCACACCACCCGTGGCACAGACACCCCGGTGGCCGCGCGCTTTCACATCCGCACGGCGCGCGTCCGTACGAAGCCACCGCCTTGCTCACCAGCCGATGGACCATCACCGTCTTCGTCTGACCGATGCGATGAGCGCGGTCGGTGGCCTCGGAAGCGACGGCGGTGACACGAAGCGAAAGAGGGCATGGTGGAGGTGACGCGTCAAAGACGTCAAACACATCAAAGACGGTGTGTGTATATATATATATACAATATATATTCAATATGTTCATATAGAAGAGGCGGACGATGCATGGCATGTCTCCATTTGGCGTACACTGCTCGTTCGCTTCTTACTGCGGCTGAAGGGATGTAGGAAGGTCCGAGTCTGCCAAGGTTTTTATGGTTCGCCAGCAGTGAAGCCGACAGACCTCTTCCTTTGCAACATCACCTCAAGTGCAGAGAAGATCCTCCTGAAGGGGAGGAATTTTTCCCTTCCAAAGAAGGCTGCTATCGGAAAGCTGGAAGACGGGTCATGGGCGACTACTCGCCTAAAAGAGTACCCAGAGCACTTTTGCATGCTCCTTTCCGAGCTGCTCCTTGCTAGCCAACCGGCCCCTGCACAGGGTGAAGACTTGCCGGACAGTTTTCTCACTGCTTGTGCAGAGCTGACTAGAAGCTTTGATGCTTCAGCAGCAATGGGGGCTGATTTCTGTGGAAGGGAAATCCGGCCTTTAATTAGTAATTGAATGCACGCTGCGGCCACGAACAGAGTTATAGGCGAGCGCAAGAGTCAAAATTATATATATATATATATGTATAGTTTTTTTGGTAGGTTCTTGGTGTATGCTTGAAGCCGGTTCTTGAGGCAAGTGAAAGTCCCAAGAACTCCGTTAAGAATCCAACAACTCACCCAAAGGCTGGACCCAAGTTTCCGGACATCATATCCACCACCCCCAGCCACGCCCGGTTGCACCCTGCTTGTTGGAACACACCCCCACTCCCAGCGGCCAAAAGGCCTGATTCTCCTTGGCCGGGTTGTATTGCCGATCGAAGTGAATGACGTGGGACGCAGCCGTCAAGGTCAGGCCCACTCCGCCTGCCTGGCAGAGCGTCCAGGTGAGAAGAACGGCCACTTCAAGTCAATGCGGGGTCCTATAAGGTCTTGAGGTTGTTTGGCCAGAAGGATGAGGACTGAGGACTGTTTGTTGTTTTGGGGCGGGTTGTGAAAGATCCCAGTTCCAACAAGTTCGCGGAGGATCCCTCACCGCTGTTCCCTCAGCAAGATGCACCTGCGCTAGAGACATGATGAGACACCCTGGCCAAGTGACCCCATGGACGCTTCAACACATCTGAATGGTCTCTACAAGACCCGTGGTACATTTTGTAAGGAGTCCTCCAATGAAGCAACATAAGGACATCACCTCCCTACAAGCCTTTGTGAAGGAGATCTTCGGACCTTCGATGACCTTCCAGACATCGACGTGGCAGGCCGTCGATCGGCCCTTCTCACCCCACCGGTCAAGCGCGGTCCGCGGTTCCAACGGCCGCCTGCAGGGACAGCAGCAGCACGGAACTGGCGGGATCCGTCTGGAAGGAATTCATCACGGCCTGGGAGTTCAAACCACGAAGCCAGTGGCGCAAGTCGCCTCCTTTCTGAGTCTATACTTTACCAATCTGTACCACAAGACTCGGTCTTTTCTGATCGCCGCCGAGTTTCACATTCAAATGGACGTATCTTCCAAAAAACTATGTTGCCATTTGGATTATATAGTTTCCCGGTGTTTCACTGTACCACCACCCATATTCACCACAACCGGCCTCGCGCTGGTCCTTGCCCATGCTGCCCACGATCTTCAGCACTTTGCAGTTGAAGCCGTCGGTGATCTGCTTGGAGAGCATCTCCAGGGCGGTCAAGGACGTGCTAAAGATGAGGACCTTCTCATTGCTCTCCAAGATGCTCCGCAGCAGCTCCTACTCTGGGAAGAAGATCAGATCTGCTCAATCAAACTGAGTTCTTCTGTTTTTTTAAACGAGCGTGAAAAGAAACTACAAGTAGTTCCCGGGCAAGCCGGCGGCGGAAGTTTCCTATAAGAAGAAATTGACCTATAGGAGTGTCCACGTTCTCTCCACCATGCGTGTCCCTCGTGTCACTCACTGAGCCAAACGCATGCGCTCCGGACTTTTGACACACACACACAGCGCCACCTGTGCAAGGTCTGTGCTCCCTGCAGGATCAGCAGCTCACAACAGCGCACTGGGTTGTGTCTATGCCAAAGCAAGATCACCAGCCCACACCGGCGTGCTGAAGCAACTGGGCATCTGCAAGCGAAAGTTAAGTGCAGCTGGTGCGGGCACGCGAAGTGGGTGGTGTTTTCAAAGTCAAAATCATGTCTTCATTGTCCAGCTTGCCAAATACTCCGCGTACTTTACAGTTGTACTACAAAGTCGCCAGTTCTCATTTTCCAGCTCCCCAGATACTCAGCAGCGAGAGATGACTCACCAGCGAGAGATACGTCAGCAGTGAGAGACGACCCAGCCGCAAGAGATGACTCTGCAGCGAGAGATGGCTCAGCAGCGAGAGATGACTGTGCAGTGAGAGATGACTCAGCAGTGAGACAGGACTCAGCAGCGAGAGATGACTTAGCAGCGAGAGATGCCTCATCCGCATACTAAAGTTGTACTACAAAGTCGCCAGTTCTCATGGTCCAGCTTGCCAGATACTCCGCGCACGACAGTTGCACTACAATGTCGCCAGTTCTCAGCTTCCAGCTCACACATTGCTCCGCGTACTAAAGTTGTCCTACGAAGTCACCAGTTCTCAGCTTCCAGCTCCCCAGATGCTGTGCCTGCCACGAAATCTGCCCATGCAGGTTCACAAAGTGCTGCGCCTGCCACGAAATCTGCACCTCGACGCTCACAAAGTGCTGTGCCTGCGAAGAAATCTGCACATGGAGGTGCACAAAGTGCTGTGCCTGCCACGAAATCTGCACATGGAGGTTCACAAAGTGCTGCACCTGCCACGAAATCTGCACATGGAGCTTGAGCTGGTGTATGAGCGGTGTATGATGAGTGGTGTATGATGAGTGGTGTGTGATCAGTCGTGTATGATGAGTGGTGTATGAGAAGTAGTGTATGATGAGTAGTGTATGAGTCGCCAGTTCTCATCGTCCAGCTTGCCAGATACTCCGCGCGCTAAAGTTGCACTACAAAGTCGCCAGTTCTCAGCTCCCAGCTCTATAGATTGCTCCGCGCACTAAAGTTGTACTAGAAAGTCGCCAGTTCTCACCATCCAGCTCCACAGATACTCCGCGTACTCAAGTTGTACTACAAAGTCGCCAGTTCTCAGCTTCCAGCTCCACAGATACTCCGCGTACTAAAGTTGTACTACAAAGTCGCCAGTTCTCAGCTTCTAGCTGCACAGATAGCTCCGCGTACTAAAGTTGTACTAAAAAGTCGGCAGTTCTCAGCTTCCAGCTCCACAGATACTCCGCGTACTAAAGTTGTACTACAAAGTCGCCAGTTCTCATCGTCCAGCTCGCCACATACTCCGCGTACTAAAGTTGTACTACAAAGTCGCCAGTTCTCAGCTTCCAGCTCCCCAGATGCTCTGCCTGCCACGAAATCTGCACATGGAGGTTCACAAAGTGCTGTGCCTGCCACGAAATCTGCACATGGAGGTTCACAAAGTGCTGTGCCTGCGAAGAAATCTACACATGGAGGTGCACAAAGTGCTGTGCCTGCCACGAAATCTGCACATGGAGGTTCACAAAGTGCTGCACCTGCCACGAAATCTGCACATGGAGGTTCCCAAAGTGCTGTACCTGCCAGGAAAATCTGCACATGGAGGTTCACAAAGCGCTGCACCTGCCACGAAATCTGCACATGGAGGTGCACAAAGTGCTGTGCCTGCCACGAAATCTGCACATGGAGGTTCACAAAGTGCTGCACCTGCCACGAAATCTGCACATGGAGGTTCCCAAAGTGCTGTGCCTGCCAGGAAATCTGCACATGGAGGTACACAAAGTGCTGCACCTGCCACGAAATCTGCACATGGAGGTTCACAAAGTGCTGTGCCTGCCAGGAGGTACACAAAGTGCTGCACCTGCCACGAAATCTGCACATGGAGGTTCACAAAGTGCTGCACCTGCCACGAAATCTGCACTTCAAGAAACAAGTGAAAACTCTAATCCCCATGGACGGACGATTCCGAGCATGATCGGAGAATGATCCGAGACCGTCTCGCACCCGTCGTTCCGCAGACCTTGACTTGCCAGCTTCGGAGCCACCGGTTCCATTGAAAAATACAGCATTTCGTGCGTTCGCTATCTCTCCACAACGCATTTTGTATTGCGCCTGCCACGACATCTGCACATGGAGGTGCACAAAGTGCTGTGCCTGCCACGAAATCTGCACATGGAGGTTCACAAAGTGCTGCACCTGCCATGAAATCTGCACATGGAGGTTCACAAAGTGCTGCACCTGCCACGCAATCTGCACCTGGAGCTGGAGTTGCCTGGAGCTTGAGCTGTTGAAACCAGAGCTGGTGTATGAGCAGTGTATGATGAGTGGTGTATGATGAGTGGTGTATGATGAGTGGTGTATGATGAGTGGTGTGTGATGAGTGGTGTGTGATGAGTGGTGTATGATGAGTGGTGTATGATGAGTGGTGTATGATG